ATTCTGCGAGATCTCCCGGAGTAGCTACTGGAATTATTGGCGATTTAGATTGGTTCGTCGGAGGTTGAACTTGCGTCGAAGGCCGCAATGATTGTTCCTTAGTCTGAATTGCCGCTTCAGACTTCGGCCTCCATACTTGACGAGTTGGTGGCGGCTTCTTGGCCACTTCCTTCTGCAGTCTTCTACGGGCCTCTTGGACTTGAGCCCGTGCCTGCGCTGACATTGCGTGGCGCTTGCGAATGCGCTCCTCAAGTGTCGAACGATTCCGTTTGACACAGATCCATTCGTTCGTTGGCGGCTTGGAGGAGCTGCCATTCATCGGTGGTTGAGGCTGTTTGCCTCTCCTGTTCTTCAGATCCGCGTTATAGCGGATTCCGTCGGTGGACTCCATCGCCTTTGCGAATTCTCGGGCTAAGCGTTGGCGTGAGTTGTCGCGCCAGGCGTTAACGTCATCTCTGGCGGGATCTCTTTGAGAGAGTCACAACACCTTCAACGGCGGAGGAATTGGCAAGAATAGATTTGACCTGGTTGGAGGTCGGTGGAGCTTCACCCGATGCAACTTTGGTATCAATTAGGGTGAGATCTTCGTTGGCATTCTGCACTTCTTCGTACCAACGGACCTTTCTCCTGGAGGAGAACTTCTTGGACTTGCGGGGGGAGGTGGATCCGGACGAGGATGACAGATACTCCTCGAATTTTTGTTGGTCGAATTCATACTCGACCTCCTCCTCGACCGGGATCGAGATCCGCGGCTGCGACGCAACGATCTAGGCGGCGAGATCGGTGGCTCCCACTGTGGTCGCCAGATTGTTCGCGAGAAAAATTGTTGTTTTCATTGAATTCATTATACTCTCAAGTAATTGTTTATCGATTACAACAGATCCGGTTACAACAAAATCAAAAAGAAATGAAAATTACAACCTTCCTTTTATGTCGAACGAATCGCGAGCTCCTGTTTTGCGGTCACTCGCTTTTGTGGGTTCTTTGCCTGCGCCGGGGTTAATCCGTGGACCACCGCACGATCTAGATCCGGTCGGATCTACACGGTATGACGGGTGTTATCTCACGAAGGAAATAACAGCCGGGGGTACTATTTCACCAAGGAAATAATAGCCTTTAGTTCTCGGGATCAAAGGCCAAGCTTTGATCCGGAGGGAAGCCGTGCAGATCTCAGATCTGATCTCTCTCGAACTCCTGCCTTATTTGGCGTGGACGATTGCTAAGAACCAGATCTGGAAGTCGAGTCTTCAAAGCTCTGAAAGTTCAAGTCCAATTCTCAATCCGGCAGAGTTTCGGCTCCAAAAGTTCTAACCTTTGACAAATGAGCCATAGGGGTCTATTTATAGGCAATTGCAAGCGGATCTGGGCTCAGATCTGGGCCCAGATCCGCGCGTCGGAAGGAGGGGGTAGCTCGGCCACAGCCACAAAAGGTGGCTCGCCGCCACGCGAAGCCACCTTTGGTGCTGTCGGTGGTGCCGAGCGGTGGCTCGGCGAGCCACCAAGGTGGCTCAGCCACCGAGCCACCATTTGGTGGCTCGGTTGCCGAGCCACCACTTGGTGGCTCGGCTCACCGAGCCGCCTAGATGGCTTTTGGCCGAGCTTTTTCCGGTTGTTTGCCGTGTCGCCCGTCGTCCGGTTTCGCGGTTTATCGGTTTATCCGAGCTTCGCCGTTGATCTGAACTCTGATTTGGCAGTAAATCCGCTTCGGTGATTGAGTTCAAATCCGTTCTACAGTTGGATGACTCGTTGACTCACCGAACCGTTAGCTTGATTCCGCACGCGAATGGATGCATTCAGTTGCTTGCGTGCGATTCGTTAGCCTCGTCGCCTCGTTAATCCGCTTCGTTGCGTGTCACTTGGCTTCGATGTTGTGGACTAACGCTCGTGTTTAGATACGTCACCCCGATGGTTCGTTGGTTTGTCGAATCACCGTACTGAGCTGTGTTAAGGGACCCATAGGCAGTTTTATACGCCTACAATAACCAAACAAAAGAAAATAACCTAATACAAGAAATAAGTTTCTTATAATTCATTTCCTTATTTTTTCCGCCAACCAAACAACATCAAAACAAGTTTTCTTAAAAAATCACTCACATCATCCTATAATAAGGTGACAACTCATCTCCATTTATTTGATTTTCTTCTTTTTTTAGCCAACCAAACAATCACAAAACCTATTTTTCTTAGAAATAGGTTTCCTTTTCTTTGATTTCCCTCTTTTTTTAGGCAAACAAACAGCCCCTAACTAAAAAAAGAAGGAAATCAAAGAATAGGAGATGAGATGAGATGAGTTGTCACTATATTATTGGATGATGTGTGTGAGTTTTTAAGAAAACTTGTTTTGAGCTTGTTTGATTGGCTAAAAAAGAAATTGTTTTGAGGTTGTTTGGTTAGCTAAAAAAAGAAGGAAATCAAAGAATAGGAGATGAGATGAGATGAGTTGTCACTATATTATTGGATGATGTGTGTGAGTTTTTAAGAAAACTTGTTTTGAGCTTGTTTGATTGGCTAAAAAAGAAGGAAATTAAAGAATACGAAACCTATTTCCTATAATAGGTTCTTCTCTTGTGTTTGGTTCATTCTTAAAAATAAGAGATGAGATGAGTTGTCCTATTTCCTATAATAGGTTCTTCTCTTGTGTTTGGTTCATTCTTAAAAATAAGAGATGAGATGAGTTGTCATTATATTATTGGATCTTGTGTTTGGTTCATTCTTAAAAATAAGAGATGAGATGAGTTGTCATTATATTATTGGATGATGTGACCCACACTTAAGGAAATTAATTTCTTTGTTTTTTTGGAGGAAATAGGTGGAGATGAAATGTTAATGAAATAAGATGAGTTGTCACTATATTATTGAATGATGTGAGTGATTTTTAAAGATGGGATGAGAGGGAGATGAGATGAGTTGGAGGATGTGACACATTTCTTTTGTTTGGTTTATTTTATTGAATGATATGAGATGAGTTGTTGGATGAAAATAATATTTTATTGGATGATATGGATGAGTTGTTGAATAAAAATAATATTTTATTAGATGTTGTGGGAAGTTTTAGTGATGGAAATGGTGGAAATTACACTTTTTAAGATTTCCAAACTCTAATTTCCTATTCTTAGTTTTTAGGAAACCAACCAAACATTGATGCCCGTTGCCCTTAGTGCTGTCCATGAAGGTACGGCGCCTTTTTCTATTTTCATATTAAATAGGTTAATATGAAGGTTAAGGCGCAGTCGTATATGTTCTCTCTATGATTGCTTCATAACACGGGAAGTATCTGTTGCGGAATCCTGTACCTCATATGGATTGCTTTCGAATAAGTATATGATATCAGGAGAACGGGCATCTTGCTCCTAAATGTGTTAAATAAATAAACAATCACTTATTTCCTCGATAATCAAATAACAGGCCCTGATGGCATTGACATCATTAGGGGGGTTTTGTTGAGAAAATTTGAATGTGCATGGAACTTTTGTAATACAACCAAAAAGTTCAGGTTTAATAGGAAAGCGGTTCAAGGGGTTCACGAGAAACCCCTAATCACCTAGAACTTAAAATTGGAACTGAGATAATACGTGGAATAAATTTTTAAGGTGTTAGTCACATAGAACTAAATTTGGAATAAAATTTTACAGTGTTAGTCAAGTAGAACTCTAACAAAACTAGAATTGAGATAATGATACAAAATAAAATTTTACAGTGTTAGTCAAGTAGAACTCTAACAAAACTAGAATTGAGATAATGATACAAAATTATCCCACTTTTTTTATTTTTCTATAAGTAGAACTCTAACAAAACTAGAATTGAGATAATGATACAAAATTATCCCACTTTTTTTATTTTTCTATACAAAAATAAAAGTTCCTGTCTCTCAAATTATTCCAAGTTTTAGCTTGGAACTAGGTGGTAAAAAACTAGAACTCGTATTTATTTTGTTATTTTTTTATATATATATATTTTTTTTCTTTTACTTCTTTCTTATTATGGTTATCACCATTATTAGATAATCGTTATAATAATAATTATCAATATCTTATAGTCTAACCAAAAATTATTTAATAATAAAGAATATTCTTGTAAGCAATTATCAATTAATGATAATAAGTTTAAAATAAATAAATAGTATTTATATCTTCAAATGCATAAATATATATTTCATGATTATAAAAATTTATCCCACGTTATTTTATCAAAATATCTCATTTCACAAAATTATTCCTATTTATCCCACTAAAATATCCCACTAACAAAATATTATTCTACTTTAACAATTATCTTATTTTGTATGAAAATATCCTAATTGACTAACACCCCCTAACTGTAATACCAAGGATAGCTGGCAGAGCAAATACCAAGGATGCTAGATTTGTAACCCTGTTACATACATGCTTCAAGCTATGTTTGCTGCACGTCTAAGAGTGACAGCCCAAGTAGGAGAGAAGATGCCGACGTAATAACTGACATCCATGAAAAAAAAAAATTCAGATATTTTTGAAAAAGGAAATAGGGTTATTTGCATATGTACCCCTTACATCATGGTTATTTGCAAAATATCCACCAAATCTTAGTATTTGTAAAATTACTCATGAAATTTACCATGACAAGTGACAACCCCAGTACGAGAAAAAATAGCAACATAATAATTGACATTCATGAAAACATTAATATTGTTACAAAAGAAAATAATATAAAGAGTAGGAGGTGAACTTATATCAACTTAAGTGGACAAGAGGCCTTTGTCCACCAAACTTTTATATCCACTCATATATATATATATATA